CGCCATATTGCGCCGATGTGCGATATTTATCCGGTCGAGACGTCGAAACGTAATATTAATATCCACTTGTGTACCACACACGAGCCCGTGTTGTTCGTGACGTCGTGTTTACTTACGTTTTCATTATAACGCTCTGTACGCGTCGTCCGAGCCACGTTCGCCGTCGTGCACTGTACGTTATCGTCTGACGTGTACTCATATTTCGCCGACGCGCGATACTAATCCGGTTCGGTCAACGCATATTAAGCATTGTATGTACATACGACACCACAGCCGCCCGCGAAACTCTCCTACGGATGACGTCACGCTTAATTAGACGCTGCGGGGGAAATGCTTTGTTTACGTGACTATGAGGCAACCTCTATTATTTATAAACCTTGAGTACCTACGGCACGCGTGTAGTCGTCTCCACGTAGACTATGCCTACTGACGATTTTCGCATGGACGTTGCTGAACCGACCATATTGTTACTGTCTCGTTTCCATCTCGTTTAGACAAACACCAGGGACAAAGGTGATTGTTATAAAATAGGTTATTATACATAACTTTATCGTGAGCCCGGTGTTGGGATTTTATATACATAGAAAAACATCTATTTTCTCCCATCTTACGCTATTGGTGAAGTTAATAACTGTCACGCTGATCTTACAGTTAATTTCGTTTATAACCAAAATTAAGTCGTATTTATACGATATTTATCAGCCTTCCACTCACATTTTAGACAATCTTCCTACTACATTCTGCGTACCTCGGATTTGTTGTAACTCGTGTTGCAGCAGTTTTGAACCGAGGCGTCGACATATGCCGAATATGTAATATATATTAAAATAATAACGTACTACCTGATACCCAGTTTGGGTTTCGTGCCTCTCATTGGACTATACATCAAGTGCACAGATTAGAATTGCTAGAGAAAATTAACAAATGCACCTCCTTACGTCTCAGATTTTTCCCTACACTCTGACCTAAAAATAAAAACAATAGCTGAGGAATCTAAATGCTTCTATAGAAGATTTCACAGCCACCTACGTAATCATTTAAACCCACTTATTAAAAATTTGGCCTCCGCTACCATACCGGGTAATCCCCCAAGACGCTTAAAGCGCAATTGGTGTCGTGATTTGTTATAACAAAAAATAAAAATAAAAAAAATAATTTAGTAAATAATTATAAGTGACCATAGAAAGTGTCATCAATCTGTGGCTCCTTTCATCAAATTAATATTCCTGTGAATGTACTTTTAGAACATATTCTTATTGTATTAATAATACAGATTGTATATTACGGTATATTACTTGTAAAAATAATAATAATAAAAAATAAATTATACATTGAATAAAATATAATAATTATATTAATGAGGTGGGCAATTATAGGTTACAGTAGATATCGAGTAGTCACTGTAATTGTGTTGAATTTTTTCATTAATTAATAGTAAAATTAACTTTTAACTTTAAATATTACTTACTACGTAAGCTGTAGGTTAGGTTAGGTTATGTACATAACTAATATAATATGTCTCCGTTATGTCGGAATGTAAATAATGTTAGCCATTATTGATTCTTCACTAGTCACTTTTCTAAGTTATGATTGTTCTGTAAGTGAGAACAACTAATCTAGATGTTTAGGTAACAATAGTCAATACGCATTAGGTGCATGAAACAATTATTACCTATATAAGTTGTAGTTGCATATGCAACATAACCAATAGGTCTTTATTTTACAGAGTAGGTAAAATTCCAATTGTAATTTTAAACAAACAGTGTAATATACACAGTTATAATATTTAATACCTACATAGATTTATAATAGGTACCTAAATTATTTTAAATCATTATAGGTATAAGCAATCTGAAGAATAATTATTTTGTACTTAAAAAATTATAAAATGTTCAACTTTAATATCTAAGGATTGAAAATTTAAAACAAGATTCCACGTAAGTTAATTCTGTTACCAAAAAATCTAAAAAATACATGAACACAGTTTATTTTTATAGTCATGTTAAGTTCAAATTTGGATGAAATTACATAAAAAAAAACCTAGAATAACTCGTGGGTACTTGAAACTTCTAAAGTACACTATTATATATATAATAGTATCAGGGATTGATGTTGATGTACAACATGTTATAAGTACTTAACGGATATTGTGATATGGTTAATTTGGAATTTATTATCGGTCAATTTTTTTTAATACTATAGATATTTATATAGTATGTTTTATACCTAGACTGACATACTATCTCAGAATCGTTTTTCTTATACAATGATATTATATCATTGAGTTCAAATTTAATACCACCCATTATACAGTGACCCACTTGTAACCTACTGTACAGCAGAGCACCTCTTTAGTTTTAAATTTTTAAATTAATTTCTTATATTATAATTTTTCAATTATTTGATCTATTATATTTAATTTTTCAATTAATTAATTAAGTGCCTCTAATTTAATAATCAAAATTATTCAGTTGTCAAAGTAAATATATTTAGTAAAGTACCTACATATTTTTAAGAATGCGAAATAATAAAATGGCAAGTAAAGAAATATAAGATTGTTTTTTTTTTTTTGAAGGGGGCTCTGATCGATATACAAAAGTGACTTTTAAACCAAAGAGACAAACAAAACTGGAGGGATTTGGTGTGCGGGATTTTAATTTTGAAAATGGGTCATAATTGATTAACAAGTTCACTAGGTTACAATCAATTCTATTTTTAATATTCCAATTATTGTTAGTGTCATGATGCGTACTAATGAGTTAATATAAATACAAAAATATTATATTTTTCATGGATATGACAGCTGAAAAAATAGATATTCAAAATCACCTTGATGGAAACGTAGTTAACTTAATAATCAATGTAAATCACTTTTAAAAATTGAAATTCGTCAAACCAAATTCCTTCAGTTTTGTTTGGCTTTTTGATCTAAAAACCAATTTTTTATATCGATCAGAACCCCCTTAAAAAAAAAAAAAATCTTATATTTCTTTACTTGCCATTTTATTATTTCGCATTCTTAAAAATATGTAGGTACTTTACTAAATTTACTTTGACAACTGAATAATTTTGATTATTAAATTAGAGGCACTTAATTAATTAATTGAAAAATTAAATATAATAGATCAAATAATTGAAAAATTATAATATAAGAAATTAATTTAAAAATTTAAAACTAAAAAGGTGCTCTGCTGTACAGTAGGTTACAAGTGGGTCACTGTATAATGGGTGGTATTAAATTTGAACTCAATGATATAATATCATTGTATAAGAAAAACGATTCTGAGCGGAGATAGTATGTCAGTCTACTAGTCTAGGTATAAGACATACTATATATACATCTATAGTATTAAAAAAAATTTACCGATTATAAATTCCAAATTAACCATATCACAATATCCGTTAGGTACTTATAACATGTTGTACATCAACATCAAACCCTGATACTATTATATATATAATAGGGTTCTTTAGAAGTTTCAAGTTTTATATTTTAACAATATATCAGGAGCCTTGTATTCAATTTTTACACTTTTGGCATAACAGATAAAACTTAATTGATATTTATAGAAAAAAAAACTATAAAAATTGAAAACTTAAATTGTCCGTAAACAGTTTAAAAAGAGTCAAAATATTTTCAAAAGTGTATGGTGTATAGGAAATTCTAATATAAACATTCAGTGAAATTTTCATGTATCTACAGTTATTCGTTTTTTAGTTACCACAAAATAAGGAAATCACCATATGAGAAATCGAGTGAAAATCCAATGTTGTAAACATTTGAATTTCAAACGGTCATAAAAATTTAATTTGATTTTCTTATAAACATTTTTTTCTTTGATAAATGCAGAAAATCTTATAGGAATCTTGTATTACATTTTCAAATCTTAGATTTAAAAAGAAAATTTTTTACGAATTCTTAACTCAAAATAATTTGCTAATTTTCGTGATTTTTCCATATTTAAAAAAAAAATTTGTCAATTTTTGAACTTTAAATGCTTGTAAAAAAACTTTGACTAATAATTTTTAATATTTTTAATCTGCCTTTGAAACAATTTACTAATAGCTTTCCATTAAATTTTCAAGCTTTATTAACCAACAAATAATATTTTATTGATATTTTTAGGAAAAAAACTAAAAAAAAAATGGAAAATGAAAATGTCCCTAAACAGTTCAAAGTAAATCAAAATATTTTGAAAATGTTATCATGTATGTAAATATAAACAACCAGTGAGAATTTCATGTATCTACGGTCATTTGTTTTAAAGTTACACCAAAAACCAAATTCAATTTTGTGAAAAATCGATTTTGAGTAAAAATTCCCGTTTTTCCTTAATTTTTCTTTTGTTTTTCTTGGCGCTTTTAAATTTTAAATTTTGATCAAACAAAATACTGAAGTTGAAAATCGAAGCATATTTCGACTACTTATCGTGTACACAGACACAAATAGAATAAAAAAATAAAAAAATAAAAAAACACACATTATTGTAAAATCAATACATTCATCGTTCCACTCAGAATTTAAAATTATAGATACAAAAAAAACCACATATCAATCTAAACTCAATAGTCACTTTGTTACAGTACAACATATTATCATCCGAACATTCCCTACAATTTACAAATATTATTGTTACTACCTCTCAGAACAACAACTTCGTTTTAATTACACTACCGTTATAAAATAGTTCTCCAGGATTCTATATTTTAAATTTATATTTACATACTTAGAGATGCAAAAATTCCAATAATTTAGATTGATTTTTATCAAAATCTGTACTAATTTAATTTGTGTTTTGTAGGTGTTCACCCAGTTAGCGACGTTTTCTCTTTTCTCGTCTACCGATTCCTTCGGAATATTGTTGCACCGAGGATTCTACGGGTATATGTCTTTAAAACGATTGAGTTATAATTTTGACGTTGATTTGTTTTATATATAACTATTTTTATTAGCAAAGCACTGTTTACTGGCCGTGAATTGTTTGGAACATACATCCACGATGGCAGCTAACAACGATAGAACATACATCATACCCAGTCTTTTGAAGTCAGCTTACCAAGCATGTATCAAGATCCACCGGGACATGTACGACAAGTTGCCAGTTCCAGATGTCAATTTGCAATCTTGTTGCGAGTCCATTTACCGAATTATAAGACTGAACACGGAGAGTGGGATTTTTGACTCATTCGGTGATAGGCGGTATATGTACGAAAAAGTGCTAAATTATGAACCTGACTTGCCAATGACAGTCTTATGTCAAATTGCTGCATCTTTCGGACACATCGATTGTCTGATGTTGGCTCGCGAGATTGGCGTTCCCTGGTACAATAATTTGAACGGTTTTCGTAATTCGGCGTGTAGCCAGGCTGCTGCCTCCGGCAACCTGGAGTGCCTTATATACGCTCATGAGAATGGGAGTATTTGGAACGAGTGGACATGCAAAGCCGCCGCTATTGGTGGACATATGGAGTGTTTGAAATATGCACGGGGCAATGGATGCCCCTGGGACGCAGACACCATTTCTTATGCTGCGACAAATGGACATATAGACATTCTGCGTTATGCACATGAATCCGGATGCCCATTTAACGGATATAATACGTGTTCTGATGCTGCGATGAATGGACAACTAGATTGTCTGAAATATGCCCATGAACAAGGATTCCCGTGGGACGAAGATACGTGTTCTAATGCTGCGTTGTATGGACACCTGGAATGTCTGCAATACGCCCATGAACAAGGATGCCCGTGGGATGTGGATACGTGTGATTACGCTGCAAAGAGTGGATACCTGGACTGTCTGCGATACGCCCATGAAAATGGGTGCTTATGGGATGAAGAAACGTGTAGTAGTGCTGTGCGACATGGTCACATTGACTGTCTCCGTTACGCACGTGAGAATGGATGTCCGTGGGTTGAAAATAATATGTCTTCTGAAGCTACACTAAATGGACATCTTGAGTGTTTGAGATATGTACACGAAAGTGGTTGCCCATGGGATACCCATACTTGTTTTGATGCTGCGGTAAAGGGACACTTGGACTGTCTGGAATATGCCCATAAAAATGGATGCCCATTGGACGACGATACGTGTTCTATTGCTGCGAGAAATGGATACCTAGATATTCTGATCTATGCTCATACAAACGGATGTGAATGGGACGAAGACACATGTTCTGAAGCTGCGAAGGGTGGACACATCGACTGTCTCATATATGCCCATGAGAATGGATGCCTTTGGGATGAAAGCACGTGTATTGAAGCCGAGAAGAATGACCACTTGGCTTGTCTACAGTACGCAAAAGAAAATGGATGCCCATTGCCCATGTAAATAAACTTTCTAAGGCAGTGGAAAGTTGATATCTAGACTGTCTTACCGTATCCTGGATCATGTGCTGTCTACTCATTAAAAATAATGCATCTGGGAAGGCCTGGACAAGTTAATGATAATTTTTTACTGAGTTAAGTTAAGTTGTTGGAATACATTTTAAAAAGTTTAAAGTTAACCTAATTTTTTTTTTAACTCAGTGAAGTTAAAAGTTATATAAACATTTTCAATTAAGTTAAGTTAAGTTATTTTTTATGGCCATTGTAATAAATATTTTTTTGTATCATAATCGAATATTTGTATCAATATCTATACATAAGTTTATATTATATTCTAGTAAGAACAAGTGCTTAGTAAATATTAAATAGTATCACGATCATAGGCAATAATATGTAACTTCATGTTTTAATATAGTTTTCAAATAGAATACACAATAAACATAAATATGGTGCATAAATATTATTTAAATTGTTTAGGTTCAGTATGTCATTTATGCGAGGTTTTCAATCGTCCATTTCTAAGCTTTAAAATTTAAGATTTTTTGAACATCTAACTAAACATATTTAGCAAATTTAATTTAATTAAAATCATTTTAAAATTTAACATACTGGTAAATAGCGTAATAAGAGTCAAGATATTTTTAAAATGTTTTCATGTCAAATAAATGTTATGAATATTCGGTGAAAGTTGTCTGCAGTCATTTGTTTAGCATATACAACAAAAACATAAAATTGGTTTGCATGAAAATTATAGGTTCATTTAATTTTTTATTTTTGCTTCTCCTAGTCTTTTAGAAAAGAATCATGAACTTGTTGATTTTAGCAAGCCAACTTTGAGTATCGACTAGATTCAATAACCTACAAGAAACTAAGCTCAAAGTTAAAAATGAAGAATTAGTTAAAGACTAAAGTATTTTAAATTATATTTGTTAAAATATTAATTTATTAATAGGTAATTAAATATATTTTTATATTTGCATTATTTTTTAAATGTTTTTCATTTAAGTACAGTACTGTAACTGTCGAAAGTATGATTTGTGTTTATTAAATTTTTATTAATTTCTTTACTTGGTTACTCTTGTTGACTTCATTATTTATTTAATTTATAATTTATCTATTTTGTATTCATATAATATTTAAATTTTCAATTGGGAGACATACACTACCACAATAGTGTCGCCTAAAGAGGATGTCAGCGCACTATTTGTTTTCTCTCTCTGTACCACGCACAACGTAGATAAAACACAATAACTCAGAATCATTTTTTCTATGTTTTTAAGTAATCTTGGAGTAAAATCCCCTATTACAAAAAAAAATAGATAATAATATTTTTGAGGGAATGACATATCGGTTTTAAATTTTATTGTTATTTGACTTTCAAAATGAACAAAAAAATGTTGTAAACTTAAATTATGTTTAAATTGTTTTGAGACAATATTTAGACAAATCGATGTCATTCATTCAAAAATATTATTCCCTAACTTTTTTGTAATGGGTGATTTTACTCTAAGATTACTTAAAAACATAGAAAAAATGATTCTGCTGTAATGCGTTTTGTCTATGTTGCGCGTGAGCCAGAGAGAGAAAACAAATGGTGCGCTGACATCCTCTTACCTAAATGTGTGTTTTATAAGTGTGTGTATATGTGGTAGCACATTTTACTGGCAACGAAGTGCACATGGACAGCTTTCTTCTACACAATATTCAAAAGGTAATGTATGTCCGATTTCGATACTATTTTAGAAAGTTGTTGAGTACTCACTCCCGCGAAAGTTTCTGGCATATTACATCCTGGCGTTTCACAATCTGAACTGGGTGGTGACACCAAAGCCGAAATACACCAATAAAAATACATATTTTGTTTTAATTGATAATCTTTTCCCTGGTAAGTCAGTTTATATACAGCTTTATCAAAAACCACGTATACCTATATATTATATTATTATATATAGGTACAATATACTACGAACAACTTAAGACGATCAACGGGCGGCGGACGAGTTTGAGTTCGTTTTGGTCAGATCCCCGTCCCACACAGTCTAAACAAAAACCCCCCACATCTGATTAGGGTTACGTAGGTAAAACTAGGATACCTAGGTATTTAAATGGTATTGTTTAGGTAAGCGACAAATTTTAATGGAACCTTCTCAAAAACTAAAATTATAATAATAATTTATTACATCAATGACTCTAATATGGAAAATTCGTAAATAATATCAACGAAACAAAAAAGTAAATACGATCTTGGTAGAAAAAAAATGAGAATAATAAAATGTATGGTAATTAAAAATCACAAAATGGACAATGGATAAATTAGACTGGCGACGAGCTACCTAACTGAACGCCGGTTTATCGCTAGTGATAACTTTTGGACTTCGGTAACATACCAAGGACGGTGTTGGCGTAGGCATCTGTGGTAGGAGAAACCGTGTTAATGCCTGGTTTATCAACTAACCAGCGTTACGTGGTCCGAGAACTTAACTTTTTCGATTCTCGTCTCATTGGATGTCCAACGCAGTAGTATCAACAGCCAACAGCCATATTGATAGTATACTTACAGTCTAGGTAAGTTTTAAACGCTTATTACTTAAGTCGTCATCTCTGTATATAATTACATATGCTTGTAAATTAGTTTAGCTATTTAAATAATATTATCTACACTCATTAGGTATTTCAAAACGTATCTACATAATACATTTTTTCACTCTAAACGTCAATAAACTTGAATACTTTTAAATAGGTACCTAATAAACTTACTAATTGTACGACATTCGGTTATCAAGTAGGTTAGATTAGGTCGGTTCCATGTCTTTACGCCGACGGTATCTACGCCGATAGCATCGACGCCGACGAGTATCTACGCCGATAGTAAATACGCCGATGGTATGTTTTTTTACAAAACGAATGTGTTTCTATGGGACTAATATAAAAATAAAAATTAACCAATATGAAACTGAAAATTTTGGAAAATTAATTATGTTATTAAATAATTAAAAATATAATAAGTAACTCGTTGTTGCCTAGTTTTTTTTAATAATAAATATTTTTTGGCTCTGAAAAGAGCCTTTTTGGGCTCCTTTCCTAAAAAGGACATTTTTAAAACGATGAGTGCCCCCAAGTGTTTGTTGCTTACTTTTAATCATTAATTAGCCCAACCGAAATTGTAAACGAAAAAAATAAAAACTGATATTCAAAAACGAAATCAGAAAAAATAATATACGAGACATAAGTACCGAAAAGGTCGAAAACCAAAATCGAAAAAAATATTAGGTAAAAAATAATATTTATTTTGCATTCTACTTTTTGCCTCCGCGCACAGCACGTCGATACCGACGGGTACCAGCACGTCGCACCAGACGACACTCGGTCCGTCGTCGTGTGACGTCCCGCTTTATTATCAACGATGTTGCGGTCGTCTCCCGGCCACATGTTATCAAAATGTAGGTACTATAGGCGTCGGAATATTCACGTATCTACACGTTTGTTGTTTTGTGGCTTTTAAAAACCCAAGAGAATATAAATAACAATATCGCGTCGTACACGAAAAACGTGCGAACTCTTTCCAGTCATCTCAATTCACTTCGAGAAATTTCAAGCGTGCGTCCAACTCCGAGTACGCGTAGTACCGTTCGCCGTCGTCGTACACCACACTTCCAAATGCGCGTCTTATCCTCCGTCGTAAAAAAAGGGTCCTCCGTAAGTATTTACGAGTTGCTTGTTATTTTCGCATCGTGTTTACTTACGTTTCTATAATATTGTAACGCTCTGCAACCGATGTCCATTATGTCATTATTCGCCGTCGTGCAAACATAGATAATAAAGATATGGATAGGACATAATGGTCTTATCAGCCGTCTTCCAGGGGAATAATTGAGGCCAAATAAAGTATATCTATATGGAGTATCAACTGTCAACAAAAAATGTAAACAAATCGCCTCAATTTCTTATCTATGTTGGACCGCAAAACTAATACGTAATGAATTTGAGGCGTCCTATCCATGTATTTATTATCTATGCGTGCAAATAACATAATATTATTGTTATCAACTACTTGTTGCAGCTGCCTGCTATCATATTGTACCGGGCATTGGAATATTCTCGTATTTTACGTTTTTAAATACACCTACATAGGGTGTTACCACTGGGTATCTTCCCTAATCTAACTAATCATATCATATTTTTACCTTTCTTATATCAAACCTACTTATTGTACAAAAAGCATGTATAGATTGTAGATTTCTTCAAATAAATAAAAAAAAAAAAAAAAAAAAAAAAAATACACCTTTGTTGCGGCTTTTCAGAGGCAAAGCGAATAATATAATAATTATCGTACCCTGGCAGCACTCTTTCCGGTGTCTTTCCTCACGAGAAATTTGAAGCGTGCGTTCAACTTCGAGCACCCGTCCATCGCCGCCGTAAGTACTTACGAGTTGCCCGTTATTTTCCGTGTTTACTCGCATTATTATAATAATTATGACGCCCTTTACGCGTTGTCCGTGACATATTTCGCAGACGATATATTTTATCCCGTTTGGTTAACACGATTTTGCATTCCATTCGCCGCCGTGACGACAAACCGTAACCGGTCGCTACGAGTACGCGTTTTTCTTCTGTCGTGCAAACATTATCTGCCATCTGTCACACGCCTGTTGTCGATACCTACCTCGCCGATTGTGTACCAAGTCGTCTCCACGTAGAAAATACCTACTGAAGATTTCCACTACCGACCATTTTGTCATCAGTCATACACAAACGTAATAATACTTATAAATTGTCATCGGAAACCGTCATTTTATAATATGCAGTTGTTCGGTATAACCGTTATTACTTTTAGGTGCTTACAACACCCCGGTTCAAAACTTTAACAACTCAAACAATTGGTCTATTGGGTATAATGTTATCTTTCTATTGTTTCTCATTGTAACGTTTAGTAAATTTTAATATAAAACTAGGGCAGTGAATTTATTGCACTAAGAAACTCACGAAATTGATTGCACCATTGCA